AGTTACGAAAGACTTGAGTTGGATATTCTTAAAGACGAGATCGAAAAATTAAAAGCTCAAACTATTAAATAATTAAAATATTATATTTATTAAATCTTATATTTTAATACATTATTGAATCTTTGGTTGTCATCAATCCCTGCATACGTCTATTTTGATGAATGAAATAGAAGTAAATTGGGATCTACTTCACAAATAATTATATTTAGATTCCTTCCATAACCGCTAATAGATAAATTTTCTCACCAACTTCCTCGGAAATATATATCTACCAGTGAATCCAAAGAATGAGGTTGATAAAAAGTTAACATCTTATTTGCATTCAAAGTTGGTAAAATTAAAGCAAAACCTCGTATGAGTTTTCTTTCCGATCACGTTATCAAACTCGAATACTGGTGTAATTCATTGAAGGTTTCAAATTGATCTGATGCTGGACATCTCTAGACGAATAATTCTTTATTAATAACGTGACACTCTATGTTACCAAATTGTTTGATACATAAATTTTAAAAATAGAATGATAATAAAAATAATGTCTAATGATGTAGATTAATCTAAAGTGGATCTCTTCCATCAGGATATGGAAATCTGCCGCCTTTTTGTGATGCATTTTCCAACATAGTTTTGAGTCGAGACATTGCTGATGGTGAAATAGTCAGCAATTCCCGAACTTCTGGAGGTGGCTGTAGAACATAAGCTTTACAAACGACTGAGAACAGTTTTAAAGCATCATCCCGATAAACACGTATTAATTCTGCTCCAGTGATCTATGGAAAGTGGGAAGATATAATAAATGTACTATTAAATTTAGAACAGAAAAGATATACATTAATTGATAAATGACCATCGGAAAGTATCATACTTGGATGCATGTGCATAGAAGAAATGGTGTGATTTTTTTAGGTTTCAAGTTCATTAGCCGAGCCAAATAGGTCCACGCATGGTCGATTGAGTATGGATTTTTGAGGTCTGAAATTAAATATTTAGGTAAATTCATCGAGATCTTAATAACGGAACGCATTCTCGATACGTACTGGGATGTATGGGTTGGGTCTGCATGATAGCACAATATAGTGCTAAAATCGAACACATTCGTTTAATGTATATATCTTCTCTTTCTCCGTCTTTATAGCCGATATGCTTCCTGAAGTCAGCAACAGACATTTTATCCTGTAGGTAATACGCATAAGTAACATGTGTGTTTATGCGAATCAGTTATATTACTTCATAAACCCGAACATACCATTTCCCGTATATCAAAATAGCGTGGTAGTACATATGGGCATTTTTTCACGAAACGAGCCATCAAAAAGTTCAAGAATTCTGTGTGCCATGCTGCAATCAAAACACTCACATGAGCGAAGGAAAATGCCGATGATTCGTTTGATAATATATCAACTTCTGCATGTTTCTAATCAAGTCCGTAAACAAATAACATGAAATGAATAAACAATTTTGATTTGAGATGCACCACATTAGAATCATTTACTTACAATAAGTTCTTTGGCCAAGAAATTCAAAAGAAAATAATAAACATTTATATTACTCGATTTCGATGAATTTAACACATTACTGATTTCGTCGGCCTACAAAATGAATAATAAATAATGTGAACTTTCAATAAAAAGATATTTAAAAAAATAATAACGTACTATTTTAAGTATTTCGGTTCGACTGTTTGTCAAAATATTCAATTTTAATTTAATCTTTTTCCTCGACTCAAGTGTTGCAGTTTTCAGCTGAGGAACTTTTGCCAATTTTTCATTGATATTTTTAAGCATACTTCGGTGGCGTTCCTCCTCTTTCAACGCTTCCTCGGATCCAAGAGATTTTGAACCTTTCGTTCCGGTAGCCGGTTGAGTTGCCTCTTGTGATTTTTTCTTAGCTTCGGCGGCAGCTTGGGCAGCCTCTTGTGCTTTCTTGGCTTCGGCCAGCATTTTTGCCTCCTTTTCCTTTGCTTCCTTTTCTTTTGCCTGTTTTTCTATTTCTAGAGCCTTTTTTTTATTAATAGCATCAATCTGTTCTTGCTTTTTTGCTTCTTCGACTTTCCTGATGCGCTCCTGTTCTTCCATTTTCATCTTGATCATTTGCTCATAATCCTACATATTCGCATAGGGAGTCATGAATGACATTATTATGATCAGAGAGAGAACGAACTAAAATAAATACCTGCATCAATTTTTTCCATTGTGCCTGTTGCGCCTCGAAATCAAGTTTCCTCTGAAGTCTTTCCTTTTCACTAAAAAATTTTTAATGATCAATGCTAAAAAGAAATGACAACTAACAAAAGACCAAAGGTTTGGCGACACTAACTAGTCCGCCTCAATTTTTTCGTATAACTGTTTCCATTTTTGGAATTCTTCGGTACGCCTTTGTTCGGCTTCCTCAAACTTCTTAAGAGCAGAAGATCTAGCTGCGTAAAGGATTCTTTGAACCTCGACGGCATCTTGCTCTAAAGCTTCCTAATATGCAAAATAAGATAACTTCTAAAAAAAAAAAAAAAAAAGCATGACTAATTATCAAGTTTACCAGCATTTGGTGTTTTCTCCACTTAACAATTTCACTTTCATACCGATCATTCTCGCAAGAGACAAAATCTAAATCTTCTTGTCTCACCGGCCTTGGCATTTTTTTTAAGGGTTAAGACAAAGTCGCGACTGATGAGCATACTGTATATTTTCAAATTTTGTACCACAGATAACGTAATACAAAATCTTTGATTTTTTTAAATTTGTCCAATAAGTTTGTCACAACGTGTATGTCCCTTCAAATTTTTTTTTAGAATACCGCGCAATATGCCTAATAGATACGCTCGAATTTCCAACGAAGAAAGTTATGAATTACCAGAACTAAGAGGCAAGGTCGAGGATGAAAACAGTTCGGTTTACGGCCTAAGGAA